AAGAAGTGGTTCAGGACTATTTAGAAAAGCTGGACCTACACAAGTCCAAGATCTAATGCATCTGAGGATGCTGAGGGAACTGGCGGATATGATTGCAGAGCCATTGGCCATTATCTTTGAAAACTCATGGTGATCGGGCGATGTCCCAGATGACTAGAAAAAGGCTAATGTAGTGCCCATCTTTAAAAAAGGGAAGGAGGAGGATCTGGGGAACTACAGGCCAGTCAGCCTCACCTCAGTCCCTGGAAAAATCATGGAGCAGGTCCTCAAGGAATCAATTCTGAAGCACTTAGAGGAGAGGAAATTGATCAACAACATGGATTCACCAAGGGCAAGTCATGCCTGACTAACTTAAATGCCTTCTATGATGAGATAACTGGCTCTGTGGATGAGGGGAAAGCACTGGACATGTTATTCCTTGACTTTAGCAAAGCTTTTGATACGGTCTCCCACAGTATTCTTGCCAGCAAGTTAAAGAAGTCTGGGCTGGATGAATGGACTACAAGGTGGATAAAAAGCTGGCTAGGTCGTCGGGCTCAACGGGTAGTGATCAATGGCTCCATGTCTAGTTGGCAGCCGGTATCAAGTGGAGTGCCCAAAGGGTCGATCCTGTGACCGGTTATGTTCAATATCTTCATTAATGATCTGGAGGATGGTGTGGACTGCACCCTCCGCAAGTTTGCAGATGACACTAAACTGGGAGGAGTGATAGATACACTGGAGGGTAGGGATAGGATACAGAGGGAGCTAGACAAATTAGAGGATTGGGCCAAAAGAAATCTGAGGTTCAACAAGGACAAGCGCAGAGTCCTGCACTTAGGATGGAAGAATCCCAGGCACTGTTACAGACTAGGGACCGAATAGGTAGGCAGCAGTTCTGCAGAAAAGGACCTAGGGGTTACAGTGGACGAGACGCTGGATATGAGTTGACTGTGTGCCCTTGTTGCCAAGAAGGCTAACAGCATTTTGGACTGTATAAGTAGGGGCATTGCCAGCAGATCGAGGGATGTGATCATTCCCCTCTATTCGACATTGGTGAAGTCTCATCTGGAGTACTGTGTCCCGTTTGGGGCCCCACACTACAAGAAGGATGTGGAAAAATTGGAAAGAGTCCAGCAGAGGGCAACAAAAATTATTAGGGGGCTGGAGCACATGACTTATGAGGAGAGGCTGAGGGAACTGGGATTGTTTAGTCTGCAGAAGAGAAGAATGAGGGGGGATTTGATAGCTGTTTTCAACTACCTGAAAGGGGGTTCCAAAGAGGATGGATCTAGACTTTTCTCAGTGGTAGCAGATGACAGAACAAGGAGTAATGGTCTCAAGTTGCAATGGTGGAGGTTTAGGTTGGATATTAGGAAAAACTTTTTCGCTAGGAGGGTGGTGAAACAGTGGAATGGGTTAACTAGGGATGTGGTGGAATCTCCTTCCTTAGAGGTTTTTAAGGTCAGGCTTGACAATGCCCTGGCTGGGATGATTTAGTTGGGAATTGGTCCTGCTTTGAGCAGGGAGTTGGACTAGATACCTCCCAAGGTCCCTTCCAACCCTGATATACTATGATTCTATGATTCTAAACCTTTGTTAATGGGTACTAATTATATATTTGGAGCATGCCCAGTATGAGCGGGGCAGGACTTCCGCCGACAGAGCTACTTGTCTGGCGCTGCCGGGGCTAGTGTGAGGCGGGGCTGCCCTGTCACACACCCCCTTTAATTCTTTATTAATGAACTCCAGCATCGGCTGGTCCATTATCTTACCCAGTATCAATGTCAGACTCTTGGATACAAGTTATCTGGACGCGCTGATTTAAACATGTCTAATAGCTGCTGTTTACCGTCCTCGTGAGTTATTGTTGGAATGGAAAGAGTGTTGTCGTCAACATCTTCTGATAAGAGTTACATTATCTGTTTTTCTCCAAATCCAGGAGAGAAATATTTATTTAACACTTTTACCTCTTCTGCATTATTTTTGATAATTCTGTCATTTCCGTCTAGTAATTTATCATGACCATTGTTGGGATTAATTTTGTACTTTAAAAAACTTCCTTCTTATTTTCATTGATTGGTCATTAATTTCTGATAGCTTCCCTTACCAATTTTCTACACTTTTGATCTTCTAACTTACATTCTTTACTATTGACTTCCCTTCTCTTCCATATATTTTATTTGCAGAGTGTTGGGATTCCTACCAGGGAGACACCAGCAGGGTCCAGAGCCAGCCCCATCTCCTGTATCAAGCTTTGTCTAGTAGGTATGTGATAAATGTGAAGACCCTGCCTCCGTCTGTCAGCTGGGAGACACAAAGGTTCTCTCTTTCCACCCTCTGATGCCTCCTGGCTGCTCTAGGCAAGGTGGGGTGGGACTCTGTTAACATGTGCCTCCCGGAGCTTCCATTTCCCTGGTGCTGCTGTTCCGTGAATAGTGGGGTTGTGACTGGGGCAGCAGGTACTGAGTGTTGGACTCTTGCTCTTTCAGGGGCCAGTGACTTTTGAGGAGGTGGCTGTGTATTTTACCAGGGAATAGTGGGCTCTGCTGGACCCCACTCAGAGAGCCCTCTACAGGGAATGTCATGTAGGAGAACTATGAAACGGTGGTCTTGTTGGGTAAGGAGTCCTGTCCCCTCGGTTATTCGAAGCTGTGAAGTCTCTAAAGAGCCTGAGTAGTAATAACTTTATACGTTTGTTTGTCATACCATTTCTGACAATTTTCCTTGCTGCCTTTTTTTGCCTTATCTCTGACCTCTTATTTTCTGCCCTTGTAACATGGCTACTCAAAGTTAATTGAGAAGATGAAATTTGGTGAAACGCACAGAAACTTGATTTAATACAGACAGTTATAATTGAAATCATAGTCAAGGATCAATACACATAACGATTAGACTAGGATAAGTATAGTAAAGAGGGTCTTGCACTGTGTGCAGTTATGGACACCATTGGAAACAAAGATGGAGGGGAAAGGGAGACCATCAGAAGGGAGGCCCTGATTCAATTTACCCTGTCTTGGGGACCTGACAAAATGAAAAAATGGTAAGTAGGAGAGGTGTATTATCCGCTTTCTTATGGTAATAGGATGGCTATATACCACATCTGCTCCTTTACCCTGATTACAAGAATGTCAATAGTTCCTCCAACCCATATGTGGCCTTTGGGAAGTCCATAATTAAGCATCAAGCATTAATACTCATGATTTATGTCATTTATTAATAATTCCAATATATGATGTAGCCTGGCCCAAAGTTGGATATATATAATTATAACTTGAGGATAAACAGGTTCTTGTCCCAAGATCAGGCCCAGTAAGATTATTGTAAAATTATCATATAGTTTGGGAACCCCAATGTGCACAGGTGCAACTCTCACACCATGGGAACTCTCTCTATATATTTATACAAGTAAATGATTTATTAATAATTTAGCACACTTAACACACTTAAACTCAACAAGGCAGATAGAGATAATACAGAAAGTACTTTTGAATGGCCATACGTACACCCTTTCTTAACCTTCTGAACCATTATCTTACAGACTTAACCATTATCTTTCTCATCACCGTCATTGTCCTCATCTTGCCCGGTGGCAAATCATTCTGGCCCCTCCCAAAGTCTACATCTCTCTACCCTCTGCTGCCCCTGGGATGTTACTTTTATAGTCAGTTAAGCTGACGCTGCCATGTCCAATGCATATTCAAAAGGTTCTTATTTGTATTTCCTCCGCTTAAGGTGTCCGTTTCTATTGGTTAGTATATGTATGGTCAAAAAGAACGAGGAGTACTTGTGGTATCTTAGAGACTAACAAATGTGTTTGGGCAGGGGTTCTCAGACTTTTCTACTGGTGACCCCTTTCACACAGCAAGCCTCTGAGTGCGACCCCCCCCCCATACATTAAAAACACTTTTTTATATATTTAACACCATTATAAATGCTGGAGGCAAAGTGGGATTTGGGGTGCAGGCTGACAGCTCGTGACCCCCCCCCCCAACGTAATAACCTCACAACCCCTTAGGGGTCCCAACACCCAGTTTGAGAACCCCTGTATTTGGGCATAAGCTTTTATGGGCTGAAACCCACTTCATCAGATGCATGCAGTGGTAAAATACTGTAGGAAGATATATAGATATACACACACACACACATATATACACACAGAGAACATGAAAAAATAGGGGTTGCCATACCAACTCTAACAAAACTAGTCAATTAAGGTAGGCTATTATCAGCAGGAGAAAAAAACCCTTTTGTAGTGGTAATCAGAATGGTCCATTTCAAACAGTTGACAAGAAGGTGTGAGTAACAGTAGGCGAAAACTTAGCATGGGGAAATAGTTTTTAATTTGTGTAATGACCCATCCACTCCCAGTCTTTATTCAGGCTTAATTTAATGGTGTGCAGTTTGCAAATTAATTCCAGTTCTGCAGTTTCTCATTGGAGTCTGTTTTTGAAGTTTTTTTTGTTGTAGAATTGCCACTCTTAGGTCTGTAATTGAACGTCCAGGGAGGTTGAAGTGTTCTCCTACTGGTTTTTGGATGTGTTAATTCTTGACATCTGATTTGTGTCCATTTATTCTTTTGCATAGAGACTCTCCAGTTTGGCTAATGTACATGGCAGAGGTGCATTGCTGGCACATGATGGCATATATCACATTGGTAGATGTGCAGGTGAACGAGCCCCTGATGGTGTGGCTGATGTGATTTAGGTCCTATAATGGTGTCCCTTGAATAGATATGTGGACAGAGTTGGCAACGGGCTTTGTTGCAAGGATCCCCCTGTAGAGGGTCCGGACTCACCCCTGCGGTGCCTCCTGCTGGTCGTCCAGGGAATTAGCTCACCAGCCTCTGGAGCGCCCTCTGCAGGCCGGTGATCCGCCTTGTCCTCTGCACTGGCCCCAGTGTCCCTCCCAGGACCCTGGTGCCCCTTTGCTCTGGGTGCTGTCCCCTGGCAGTAACCACACGCTAGGTCTCCCCTCCCTGTGGAATCCCCACCCACTATCTTCACCTTGCCTCAGCACTAGGCCACTGCCAGTCACCAACTAGCCCCCGCTCCCTGGGGCAGACTGCAGTATAGGCCACTCATCACTGGCAAGGAGGGTTTGGACCTGCTGCCTTGGCCTAGCCCTGGGCTGCCCTCTGCAACCCCCAGTACCCCTTGGCCTTCCGCTAGGCCGCAGCCTGGGGCTATCCAGGCTGGAGCTCCCCAGCTCCTCAGCCTGTCCCCAGCCCTGCTCCACCACAGGTACCCTGTCTAGCTCCCTGCAGCCAGGCCCTTCTCTTTCTGAAGGCAGAGAGAGACTCTACTGAGCTCCTGGCGCCTAGCCTCTTATATAGGCCTGCTGAGGCTGTTTGGGGCGTGGCCCCAGCTGCAGCCACTTCCCCCAATCCGTTCAGCCTTCACACTGCCTACTCCCTGGGCTATCCCAGGCCCTTCCAGGCAGGAGCAGGTATCCACCCTGCTACACCCCCTTCCCAACTCTAACGCCGCAGAGCCTTGCCTGTGTCCCTGTTCCCCATTCCTTGTTCCCGCCCCCTTAACAAACATGATTCCAATTTCTTCTTCGAGTGATTGCTCATGTGTATTCCACAGTAGGTGTGTGTGCTCGCCACGTGCACCAGTGTCAGAAGTTTTTTTCCCTTAGCAGTACCCATACGGGGGAGCGCCGCTGCGACCCCTAGAGTGGCTCCTCTATACCGCGCTATAAGGGGAGCTGCGCACTCCCCCCACCCTCAGTTCCTCCTTGCCGCCAGTGAAGGTAGTCAGAACGTCTTGCTCCAGCCTTGCTGCAGCTTCTCTAGTTGACCTTAGTGGTACTGTTACTTTTAGTAGTTTTTCAAGTAGTTAGAGTGGGCTCGGGGCATGCCCCGTGCCTCAGGCTTCAAGTCGTGCGACTCCTGTTGCTGTTCTATGCCCAGAAGTGATCCGCCTGTTGAGTGTCTCCGCTGCTTGGGCGAAACTCACGTGAGTGAGCGCTGCAAGATCTGCAGGTCATTCAAGCCACAGACTAAGAAGGAGAGGGACATCAGGCTTCGCGCTCTCCTGATGGAATCTACACTGGCCCCTACCCCAGCATGCCGAGCAGACTCGGTGCCCGGCACCGCATCTTCGGTGTGTAGCGAAGTCTCCTATACTAGCCGGCACTGCTCCCCTTCTAAGAAGTAAGGGAAGACTTTCGTCTCACAGCAGCGCTGAAAAAAGGAGAGGGGTGAGGCTGGTCCTAAGCCGGGCAGCCCTCGATTCCCCCCTGGGCCCTAGGCCTCTGACTTCTGTTGAGCGGAGCAGCCCGGTTCCGTCCGCGCGTGCCTCCCCTGCGGGGAGGATGCCGTCGATGCTAGAGGCTGCACAGGCCGCGCGAGACATCTTGAGCTTACCGATACCTGGGGCACTGCTAGTGTCGGGTCCTCAGTCCCAAAACAAGCCGCCGCTGGGCGCTCATCAGACCTCCCCAGCACGGCGCAGCTCCCACTCCAGGAACTACTCCTTACCTTGTTCGATGCGGTCTTCTCATGGCTCACGCCAGCCCTCTACACCAGTCAGGTTGACCGGCTCGCCGCTCGAATGGGAGTCTCGAGGCCTCTCCATGCCACGCAGTGATGGGTGCAGGCACCGTGACAGGCACCGCAGACGCTCTTCCTCGCGACACAGCTACCACAGCCAGTCCCGATGCCATTGACGTTGATGCTCCCACTCGCATTCCCGCTCTGCCAGGCATTGCACTCGAGACTCCTCTCGCAATTCATCGGCACCAGAACATCATAGCTCCTGGCGCTGGGATGAGTACAGGAGCAGCACTTCCGATGGGTACCGGTCCTCGGTGTCGAGATCCCAATCCCTGTGGAAGGCACCATCATAGGCACCATCGCCCTTGCCACTCCTATGAGACTGTGCGCTCGATGGTGACCTCAGCATCGGCACCCAGCCGCCCATCACCAGGTTGTGCGGCTCAGCTGGAACAGATGGTGCCACCAGGCCCCCAAATTGGTCAGTGGCGAGGGGCACCATGGCAAGGACAGTGGTGTCAATGGGCACCGTGGCCATAGATGCCCGCCCAGACAGGAACTCGCTCGGTGGCTGGAGCATCCCAGGCTCCTTCAGCCTCCCCTTCTCGGCAGAGGGACAAGTCAACAGGTCCCGAGTTGGTGGCCCCGTGCCCGGACTCTGACTTGGGGACCGACCTCCTGGTACCGCCTGCGACTCTCGGCTCCACGCCGGCCCCCTCTCCAGCATGGGATGATGCCATTATGGCACCGCCGCCCATTCCACATGAGGACTTCAGGGCACATCAAGACCTCCTTCAGAGGGTGGCATTCAACCTCCAGCTCCAGGCTGAGGAGATGGAGGGCCCATCTGACTCCCTTTTCAATATGCTGTCGTCCTCCGCACCGGGCAGTGTGGCCCTGCCCCTCCACCAGGGAGTAGCCAACATTTCCACTACCTTGTGGCAAACTCCTGCTTCCTTGGCCCCCATTTCCAAAAAGGCGGAGAGGAAGTACTTTGTGCCGGCTAAGGACCATGAGTACCTTTATTCCCACCCGGCACCTAACTCTCTGGTGGTGGAATCGGTAAACCACCGAGAACGACATGCCAGCTCGCGCCTCCCCCCAAAGTTTATTCTTCAGCAAGTTTCCAGCTCAGGGTGGCCAATCATCAGGCTCTACTGAGCTGCTATGAATTTAACTTAAGGCAGTCCCTACCAAAATTTGAACCTCTCCTCCCGGAGCGGGATAAAAAGGACTTCAAGGCTCTGGTAGTGGAAGGGGCGGCAGCTGCAAAAGCAACCATCCAGGCGGCATCGGACGCGGACGATATGGCAGCCCGCTCGATGTCTTCCGCCATTTCCATGCGCAGGTCATCGTGGCTCCTCCTATCCGGGCTGTCGGCGGGGGCCCAGTCCCTCATGCAGGACCTGCCCTTTGATGGGAAAGCGCTGTTTGCAGACCAAACGGATGTCCGTCTGCACAGGATGAAGGATTCCCGTACCACCCTGCAAACCTTGGGCCTCTACGTCCAGCTGGCTAAGGACAAGCCCAGGCCGCAAACTTTGACTCCACCTGCATGGAGCAAATATGAGTCCCCATCCGCAATAGGACCTAAAACTAGTGTTATCCCGTCTCACAGGACCTCCGTTTGAACCCTTGGCCACGTGTTCCTGGTCTCACCTGTCATGGAAGGTAGCATTCCTTGTAGCTATCACGTCACCCCAATGTGTCTCGGAGCTCAGGGCCTTGACCTCGGAACCCCCATATACAGTCTTCCACAAGGATAAGGTCCAGCTTCGCACACACCCCACATTCCTCCCGAAGGTGGTCTCCACCTTCCATATGGAACAGGACATTTTCCTCCCGGTGCTCTGTCCTAAGCCCCATTCCTCCAATGAGGAACGTCTCCTTCACACGCTCAATGTGTGTAGGGCACTGGCGTTCTACCTGGACCAGACCAAGCTGTTCCAGAAATCCTCGCAGCTGTTCGTTGCATCGGCCGAGCGTATGAGGGGGCAACCAATTTCCACCCAGTGCCTGGATCACCTCATTCATATACACGTGCTATGACCTGGCAAGCGTTCCCCTGCCACCAATCATCAGAGTGCACTCAATGAGAGCTCAGGTCTCATCGGCTGCCTATGTAGCCCACGTCCCAATCCAGGACCGCTGTAGGGCTGCCACATGGTCCTCTGTCCCCACATTTTCTTCATGTTATGCGATTGTCTCCCAAGCGAGGGATGACGCTGGATTTGGTAGGGTGTTACTGTGTCCCAGAAACCCTTAAACTCCTACCCGCCTCCATCAGATATAGCTTGGAGACCCCTACTGTGGAATACACATGAGCAATCACTCGAAGAAGAAAGGACAGTTACCTGTTCCGTAACTAGCATTCTTCAAGATGTGTTGCTCAGGTGTATTCCACATCCCACCCTCCTTCCCCTCTGTCGGAGTTGTCTGGCAAGAAGGAACCAAGGATGGGGGGAGTGCGCAGCTCCCCTTGTAGGGCAGTATAGAGGCGCCACTCTAGGAGTCGCAGCGGCGCTTCCCCGTATGGATACTGCTAAGGGAAAAACTTCCAACACCAGTGCACGTGGCGAGCACGCACATCTACTGTGGAATACACCTGAGCAACACATCTCGAAGAACGCCAGTTATGAAACAGGTAATTGTCCTTTCCCTTCCCCCTCCTGTTCAACCCCAGTTTATACAGTATTATTCTCAACTAGCAAAATTAATTATACAGCAGACAGAAACAATTAGCAAACCAGACACATTAACAATAGAAAAGTGGAGGCCATAAAGATAAAACATACAGAAATGAGGGTTTCCCAACCACAACCATTGATAATTAAGTGATTTCTTGCCAGACTGGATGCTATCAAACTAAGTTTTCTTTAACCATCTTAAGATCTATTTCTTTATCTGGTGGTGATGGGCACTGTCCGGTCAGGATCGTCTTCCTAACAGCCCAATACCGCCTTATTTCAGTGTGACTGGTTTGGGATGTGAAGATGTAACCGTACACTTCCCAGCTTATGGCTGCCCCTGCTGCTTAGTCAAAGAACAAGACCTCAGACTATCCTAGTGAGAGAAGGCCCATATGCAGGCGGACTCTGATTTTGATTCTTTGTTTTTATACCTCTGTAACTAGCTAAGTGATAAAAATACACCTAAGTTCTTCAAGTATAGGCTTTACAGGCAGGCCTGAAATCTCTATTCTAACAGTGGGTTCTACCTCTTCCCCCATTCTGTCTCTGTCTTGTCTATTTAGATTGTAAATTCTTCAGGCCATGGGCCATCTACTATTCTCTGTTTGTACTTTGCCTAGCATAATGCTGACCCACTGTTAGTTGGCCCATAGAAACTAAGGTAATGAATATCATTTACAATAATAACAATTCTCCTGCCACTTTGAGTCAAGGAAGATGGTCTTGGGATGTTACTGCTTAAAATTGATCTGGAGTTAAAACTATGGAATATTCTTTGTGACAAGTATCCCACAAATTCCACTGACCTCCCTTCTTTTCTTTGCCTGGAGTAGGGTTTCCAATTTCCAAACCTGATGTGATCCCACAGCTGGAACGAGGGGAAGAGCCGTGGGTCGCAGACCTCCAGGGCTCTGAGAAAGAAGTGCTCCCGAGAGCTGCCTGCACAGGTGAGGAATTGGTTAAACCAATGCAAAAACTGTTCGTGAATACAGGAAACATTAGGGATGCCCTACAAAGATGCTGTGAGCTCTCCAAGTTCAGGATTCCTCTCAGCAGAATGGAATCATTAGGCAGATGTCACGCATGGCTTCCCACCTATCCTGACTGACAACTGGCAGCAGGTCCCTCCCCGATCTCGCTTTCCCCTGAGTGTGGTGGTGAGGATGTGGACCCAAAACTGATCCCTTCCTCTCTCCTTTGAGGAAGGGTTTGGGGAAAAGCAGCTCTTGATAGGTTTGATCTCTCCCACACATATTTTGGCTTATTCATCCCTTTTTCCATTCCTTTCTCTGAGATTTCCGTTCTCTCCGGTGCAGGGAGTGACCTATATCTGGATTCTCTGTCTCCCATCAGGTGATGGGATGGTGAGTGAGAATGAGGAGGAGAAACCCCAGCAGGAAGATGCTGAGCAAGTAGAACCACATGGGATGTTACCAAGAAGATCCAAAGGGAATGTTTCCGGGAGTTGTGCACTCCCAGAAAAAGCAAAAGCCTGTGAGACTCAGCACAGACCAGAAGAAAACTTCAGTAGCCATTCAGACCTTTTAACACATGACCAAATCAACTTGGAAGAGACGCGCTACACATGCCATGAGTGTGGGAAAAGCTTCAATGGGATCTCTGACCTTCTCACACATCAGAAAATCCACAGTGGAGAGAGACCTTTCATGTGCTCTGAGTGCGGGAAAAGCTTCAATCGGAGTTCTTCCCTTATCACACATTGGAGAGTCCACACTGGTGAGAAACCTTTTGGATGCTCTGAGTGTGGAAAATGCTTCAATTGGAGCTCACATGTTATCCGACATAGGCGAATCCACACAGGTGAGAAACCTTATGGATGCTTTGAGTGCGGGAAACGCTTCAATCGGAGCTCACACCTCATCAGACATAGGAGAATCCACACAGGAGAGACGCTCTACGCATGCTCTGAGTGTGGGAAAAGCTTCAATCAGAGCTCTGCCCTTATCACACATCAGAGAATCCACACAGGAGAGACACCCTACACATGCTCTGAGTGCGGGAAAAGCTTCAATCAAAGCTCAAACCTTATCAGACATCAGCGAATCCACACAGGAGAGACGCCCTACATGTGCTCTGAGTGTGGCAAAAGCTTCAATGATAGCTCAGCCCTGATCACACATCGTAGAATCCACACAGGAGAGAAACCTTATGAGTGCCCTGAGTGTGGGAAACGCTTCAATCGTAGCTCACATCTCATCAGACATAGGAGAATCCACACAGGAGAGACGCTCTACGCATGCTCTGAGTGTGGGAAAAGCTTCAATCAGAGCTCTGCCCTTATCACACATCAGAGAATCCACACAGGAGAGACGCCCTACACATGCTCTGAGTGCGGGAAAAGCTTCAATCTGAGCTCAACCCTTATTAGACATCGGAGAATCCACACAGGAGAGAAACCCTACATGTGCTCTGAGTGTGGGAAACACTTCAGTGATAGCTCAGCCCTTACCACACATCAGAGAATCCACACCGGTGAGAAACCTTATGGATGCTCTGAGTGTGGGAAAAACTTCAATCAAAGCTCAACCCTTATTAAACATCAGAAAATCCACATGAGAGAGAACTGTAATAAATGCCTAGATTAGGGCTGGCCAAAGATCTGATTTTTTTTAAAAATCACTTTTGCTAATTCCCATATGGTGCAAATATCACTATCGTCACGTGGTCTCTCAGCTCCCCCAGATGAGTTGCCTGCTTCTGCCTTTTGAAGCTCACTGTTCTTTGGGGTCAGTCCTGTGATCTTTTCTATCCACTCCTTTCCTTTTGAGTCATAGGAGTGTGTGTCCCTCCAGCCAGTAATGTTCATCGGCTCCAGGTGGGAGAGAGGTTTGATCCCAACAAGCTACACTGAGGCAAAAACTACCTGTGCCTTACATCCACTAGGACTGTACATGGCGTTGGCTGCTCAAGTTAGTGATCTTGGTGTAAAAAGACAATTCTAGTTGTAGAGCAGATGCAGCCTAGGTGCAGTGGTTGGCATTAGCTTTCCCCTTGACCCGACCTAAACAAACCCTGAGCAGCACGGTTATACTGTTCCCCCATTTCAAAGCAATTGTTAGTCATCAAGTTCCCCCTTCGGGAACAAATTGTTTCATTCCCAGTTGCACTAATGTTGCTTCAGGTTGTGCGGGAAAACAGATATTTTTACTATCATTTTCCTCATTTAAAATATATTGAACTATAACAAAGAGCAGGAACAGGGCAGGGATAAGGAAAAATGTCATTTCACCCTCTGTAACAACAGAAGAAGATAGGGTAAGTCAGAGGGATTTCCTTATTCCCCATCAGCATCCCAACCCCCCTGTTGTTCAATTGGTTAGGTCAATATTTTTTCTAAAGGGCTGGGAAGAGTATTCCCTAGTAAATGACTTGTAACTAAGCAAAATACCCATGCATTGGGCTCCCAAAGCAGTTGTGGCCCAGGCCCTGCAGGAGGTCGCTCCTGAAGATATCTCCTTCCTAGTCAGGTGCATGTTGCCTATTATTTGGGAAATGCAATACCTATCAAGGTAGAGATGGGAAAAATGGAAGTGACATTTCTCTTCAGCTCACCCCTGGGAGATGCTGCAAATATGTAGAAAATGAAATCTGTGTTGAATCTGATATAGCTGCAGAAATATATCTATTTTTAATAGATACCTGATATTTGGTATCTTACAGGGATTCTAAAACGCACCTGAATTTAGTCCCTAATTTAAATCTGTCCCACCAAATTAAAAAAATAAAAGGGCATATTTGGGGGAGTTGTACCTCACTATTGCTACTGACATGTTGTGTGGTTGGTGAAGTATTCTGCGCCAGAGAATTGTAAAATTACTCCAAGTAAGGTCAAAGATTTGACAAGAACTCAGGTAGAAATTGCAGGTACTAGTGGTTGATTTTTCACCCCAGAGATAGAAGCTATGGTGACCTGTGGCCCAGGTAAACTATTTTTAGAACGCTGCTCTGTAGTTAAATGGAATTGATCACACTCTTAAAGGATGCCATGATTAAAATGGGAACAACTGTCTTTTACCATTTTGATCTAAAGTTTCATGAAGCATAGAGAGAATCATAGAAGATTAGGGTTGGAAGAGTCCTCAAGAGGTCATCTAGTCCAACCCCCTGCTTAAAGCAGGACAACACCAACTAAATCATTCCAGCCAGGGCTTTGTGAAGCCGTGCCTTAAAAACCTCTAGGATGGAGATTCCACTACCTCCCTAGGTAACCCATTCCAGTGCTTCACCACCTTCCTAGTGAAATAGTATTTGCTAATATCCAACCTAGATCTCCCACTCTGCAACTTGAGACCGTTGCTCCTTGTTCTGTCATCTGCCACCACTGAACAGCCAAGCACCATCCTCTTTGGAACCCCCCTTCAGGTAGTTGAAGGCTGCTATCAAATCCCCCTTCACTCTACTCTTCTGCAGACTAAATAAGCCTACTTCCCTCAGCCTCTCCTCGTAAGTCATGTGCCCCAGGCCCCTGATCATTTTCGTTGCCCTCCGCTGGACTCTTTCCAATTTGTCCACATCCTTTGTGTAGTGGGGGCCCCAAAACTGGACGCAATACTCCAGATGTGGCTTCACCAGTGCCGAATAGAGGGGAATGATCATGTCCCTCAATCTGCTGGCAGTGCTCCTACTAATGCATCCCAATATGCCGTTAGCCTTCTTGCCAACAAGGGCACACTTCTGACTCATATCCAGCTTCTGATCCACTGTAATCCCCAGGTCCTTTCCTGCAGAACTGCTGCTTAGCCAGTCCATCCCCAACCTGTGGCAGTTCATGGGATTCTTCCATCCTAAGTGCAGGACTCTGCACTTGTCCTTGTTGAACTTCATCAGACTTCTTTTGGCTCAATCCTCCAATTTGTCTACCCCCTCCCCCCCCGCTTAGTGTCCTCTGCGAACTTGCAGAGGATGCAATTAATCGCATCATCCAGATCATTAATAAAGATGTTGAACAAAACCGGTCCCAGGACCGACCCCAGGGGCACTATGCTTGATACCAGCTGCCAACTAGACATCGAGCCAGTGATCACTACCCATTGAGCCTGACAATCTAGACATCTTTCTATCCACCTTATATTCCATTAATCCAATCCATACTTGCTGGCAAGAATACTGTGGGAGACTTTAGCAATGTTTTTGATACCGTCAAGATATATCATATCCACCACTTTCCCCATATCCCTAGAGCCAGTTATCTCATCATAGAAGGCAATCAGGTTGGTCAGGCATGACTTGCCCTTGGTGAATTCATGTTGACTGTTCCTGAGCGGGGAGGGATAGCTCAGTGTTTTGAGCATTGGCCTTCTAAACCAAGGGTTGTGAGTTCAGTCCGTTGAGGGGGTCACTTAAGGATCTGGGACAAAAATCTGTCTGGGATTGGTCCTTCTTTGAGCAGGGGGTTGGACTAGATGATCTCCTGAGGTCCCTTCCAACCCTGATATTCTATGATTCTATGATCACCTTCCTCTCCTCCAAGTGTTTCAAAATAGTTTCCTTGAGGACCTGCTCAATGATGTTTCCAGGGACTGAGGTGAGGCTGTTGTTCCCTGGATTCTCCTTCTTCCCCTTTTTTAAAGATGGGCACTATATTTGCCTTTTCCATTTGTCTGGGACCTCCCTCGATCGCCATGAGTTTTCAAAGATAATGGTCAATGGCTCTGCAACCACATCAGCCAATTCCCTCAGCACCCTCAGATGCATTAGATCTGGACCATGGACTTGTGCATGTCCAGCTTTTCTAAATCGTCCTTAACCTGATCTTTCTCCACTGAGGGCTGCTCACTTCCTCCGCATACTGTGTTGCCCAGTGCAGCAGAGTGGGAGCTGACTTTGTCTGTGAAGACGGAGGTAAAAAAAGCATTGAGTACTTCAGCTTTTTCCTCATCATCTCTCACTAGGTTGCCTCCCCCATTCATTAATGGTCCCACACTGTCCCTGACCACCTTGTTGCTAACATACCTGTAGAAACTTTTATTACCCTTCACATCCATTGCTAGCTGCAACTCCAGTTGTGTTTTGGCCTCCCTTATTACACCCCTGCATGCTTGAGCAATATTTTTATACCCCTCCCTGGTCATCTGACCAAGTTTCCACTTCTTGTAAGTTTCCTTTTTGTGTTTAAGCTCACCGAAGATTTCACTGTTAAACCAAGCTGGTTGCCTGCCATATTTGCTATATCTGCACATCGGGATGGTTTGTTCCTGTGCCCTTAATAAGGCTTCTTTAAAATACAGCCAGCTTTTCTGGACTCCTTTCCCCACCCCATATTAGCCTCCCAGGGGATGCTGCCCATCAATTCCCTAAGGGAGTCAAAGTCTGCTTTTTCTGAAGTGCAGTGTCCGTATTTTGCTACTCTCCTTTCTTCCTTTTGTGAGGATCCTGAACTCAACCATCTCATGGTCACTGCTGCCCAGATTGCCACCCACTTCTACTTCCCCTACCAATTCTTCCCTGTTTGTAAGCAGCAGATCAAGAGGAGAAAGGCCCCTGGTTGATTCCTCCAGTAGTTGCACCAGGAAGTTGTCCCCAACACTCTCTAAAAACTGCCTGAATTGTCTGTGCACTGCTGTATGGCTCTCCCAGCACATCAGGATGATTGAAGTCTCCCATTAGAAACTTCAGTTAATTGTCTGAAGAAAGCCTTGTCTAAGTCATCCTCCTGGTCTGGTGGTCTATAGCACATGCCCACCATGACATCACCCTTGTTGCTCTCGCTTCTAAACTTAAACCAAAGACTCTCAACAGGCTTTTCTCCAGTTTTATACTGGAGCTCTGAGCAATCATACTGCTGTCTTACATACAGTGCAACTCCTCCACCTTTCCTCCCTTGCCTGTCCTTCCTGAACAGTTTATACCCATCCATGATAATGCTCCAGTCATGTGAGCTACCCCACCAAGTCTCTTTATTCCAATCACATCATAGTTCCTTGATTGGACCAGGACTTCCAATGCTTCCTGCTTGTTTCCCAGGCTTCTTGCGTTCGTGTACATGCACCTAAGATAACTAGCCGATTGCCCTGCTTTCTCAGTATGAATCAGGAGCCCCCTCTTCCCCCCCCCCCCATTACAAGGAGGAGGGTGTTTCCCCTCCCGATATCCCACTTCCCTACTTACCTCACGGCTTAGGTCACTGTCCCCCGGTGAACCTAGTTTAAAGCCCTCCTCACTAGGTTAGCAAACCTGCCTGCGAAGATACTGTTCCCTCTCTTCATTAGTTGGATCCCATCTCTTCCTTGCAATCCTTCTTCCCGGAACATGCCATGGTCGTGGAATCCAAAGCCCTGTCTCTGACACCACCTGCGTAACCACGCATTCACCTCCACAATTCAAAGGTTCCTACCTGGGCCTTTTCCTTCAACAGGGAGGATGGACGAGAACACGACTTGCGCCTCAAACTCCTTTATTCTTCTTCCCAGAGCCACGTACTCTGTAGTGACCCACTCAAAGTCATTCTTGGCAGTATCATTGCTGCCCATGTGGAGAAGTAGGAAGGACTAGCGGTCCCAGGGCTTGATCAGTCTCGGCAGACACTCCCTCACATCCTGAATTCTAGCTCCAGGCAAGCAGCACACTTCTCGAGTCTCTCAGTCTGGTCGGCAGATGGATGACTCCGTCCCCCTTAGGAGGTAGATATGTGCATCATGCACCTTTCTGGACCAGCCTGACTTCATGTCTGAAACGCCCACAATTGCCTGGAGAACCATGGAGAACCCCCCCCCCCCCCTTGTGATTAATGTTTTTGATGGCTAGGTTGTCTGGTGCCAGAATTGGAATATGCATGCCATCCATCGCCCCTCCGCAGTTAGGGAAGCCCATTTGTGCAAAGCCGTCCACAATGTCATACACGTTGCCCAGTGTCAGTGTCTTTCAGAGCAGGATGCAATTAATGGCCCTGCACACTTCCATCAACACGAGTCCAACGGTTGACTTTCCCACTCTGAACTGGTTAGCGACTGATTGATAGCAATCTGGAGTAGCCAGCTTCCACAGTGCAGTTGCCACACAGTCCCATGAATGTGGCTTTCCTCATCTGAAAGCTTTGCAGCCACTGCTTATCCTCCCAGATGTGCATGACGATGTGATCCCACCACTCGGTGCTTGTTTGCTGAGCCCAAAAGCGGCGTTCCACTGTGGTCAGCCATGAATGCCACAAGCAATCTCCTGTCATAGCTGCTATGCATGGCAAGATCAATGTTGCACTCCTCTTGCCTTTGTAGTTTAAGGAATAACACCACTGCCACTCATGACGTGTTAGTGAGAGCGAGCAGCATATTGATCAACAGTGCAGGATCCATTCCTGCAGCTTGAAAGAGGCAGAATGTGCAGTACACAAACAGTTGAAAGATGATGCCAAATGTGCACGGAAGCACAGGGATTACTGGCATATGAAGCTATGCATGACGGGACATTGGGACAGGACCCAGGATGCCCCGTGACCCCCTCTGCCTTCCCACAACTCTTAGCCGTAGAAGAAGAGATGCTTAGTGGGATAGCTGCCCAGAGTGCACCACTCTAAATACTGCTGCAAGTGCCGCAAGTGTGAACATGCTATTGCACAGGCAGCTGACAGTGTGAACACACAACAGCAGTTTCCCTTAAGCGCTCTCTGAGCAGTACTGTAACTCCCAGCACTGTAACTCTGCCAGTGTAGACATAGCCTCGGAGAGACTGCCAGGATCCCAGGACTGATCCTCTCTGGGGAATGAA